GTCTACAACATTCTCAACGTGGCCCTGTCTACCTCTGCAGCGTCCTCTTCTCCCCCTACACCCCAGTCACATCAAACTTCTCATAGAGCCTCAACCTGCCAGCTGCCCAGGTTTCTCTCCCTTTTCTGGGTGCCCAGTTGCCCTCCGATATGTCCTCTTTTGCTTAAGCTAGTTAGAGTTGCTTTCTGTTGCCTGCAGCTGAGAAGGCCGAATAAGGTGTGAAGCTTTCAAACTTGGACGCTCTTTTACCTTTTAAGCTCAGTCCTTGGAATTAGGGTCTTAAGCATCCCCTGGTCACTATGAAGTTTTGAAAAAGAGTTGACACACTTCTTCCCCAAATTCAGGGCCCTCCTGATGTTGATTTCCCCCAAACACTCTGCTCCTAGCACAATAGCTGAGACTGGGATTGGAGTTAGGAAGGTGGAGTTGGGACCCCAGCCTGTCAGTTGTAACAAGGGGTAAGACTACCCCTCTGCAGCTGGTCTGTCGGGTGCCTGCATCATTGGCTCTCAGCCCAGCAACTCTCTCCAATGCACTTTCATAACGCGGCTGGGTTTGCCCCGAGAGTATGGCCCCTGGACACACTTTTAGCTTAGTAATGAAGTCACTCCTGAGGTTCACCCTTCAGCCAAAGGTTAGACAGGCCCATGAAACAAAATGAGACTAAAGGGGCACACCAGTCCAGGGGCAAGGACCAGAAGGCAGGAGAGGACAGGAAAGCTGGTAATAGGGAACCCAAGTTCGAGAAGGGGAGAGTGTTGACATGTCATGGGGTTGGTAACCAATGTCACAAAACAATATGTGTACTAATTGTTTAATGAGAAACTAGTTTGTTTGGTAAACCTTCATCTAAAGTACAATAAAATAAATAAATAACAATGCTGGTGGGTTTCTCTGAGATGAGCAGGCATAGGAGAGAGAATTCAATCGCCATCTTTGTCTAGATGAGATACACCTCTATGGGCACAGGGCCCTCCTAACATTTCTGAAAAACTGTTGGCATAAGGACGTAGCTAGGAAGGTGACTGCATATTTAGTACATGCATGCACACCTACGCACTCACACCCACACACATGCACACATGCATGCACACACACACAAGATGCTGTTCTCATGTATGCTTGGGTAGGACACGCCTCTTACCGAGTACTGGATGATCCGGGGTGGCTCCGGGCCTGGGTGGGGTGGGGAGGCAGCGGGGTGGCCACACACAGGGGGCACCTCTGGGGGCAGTGCTGACCCCCAGGCCCCTCTGTTCGCCCCCCTCCAGGTGTGGGCCCGGGAGAGATCTTCCAGGAGGTACTGTTCCTACAACACACGCAGATCCTGCTGGCCTCCTGGGGAAGGGAGACCCGCAGGTGCCAGGAAAGGAATGTGCCAGCCTTGGTATGACAGTGATCAATCCCCAGACACAGGGCTCCCTGGCGGAAGGGTCTTAGGGCTGTCAGGTGGGCAGTTTCTCAGGGCTCTGCCCCCCTCCCCAGTGCATATGGGACCAGGGGCTGCAGGGATGCAGCCAGCGCTGGTCACTAGGCCTCTGGAGGCCCAGATCCTGAGGTCCGCCTGGAGCACCGCAGCCTGCTGGGATTGAACCAGTGCATAGAGTGAGGCTCTGATGCCCTCTGGTGGTGCACGTGTGAGAACCAAGTTTCTTTATAAATTTACCAAATAATTTGAACCAGTTTCTACTTGTTGCTTTGTTGTTTGATCCCCAGCCAGAAGAGTTTGTTTTCTCTTTCAAGCAGGCCTCAGTGCCCACTCCCTCTAAAAAGAGCTTCTCTCTAGGCTATTCTAACTGTTCCAACTCAGCTCCCACGCACAGTCCTGGCCTCATGGCCACCCTGGACTCCAGGACCTCCTTCCCTGAGTCTGGTCTGGCTGAAGCCAGGGCGTCTTACAATTCCTTTCCCTGCAGGAATGGGGCCCTTCCTCAATATTCTACCTTTGATGTGTGCAAACAAAGCAGGCTTTTCAGCTGGTAAGCCCCTGTGAGAACTCAGGGCACAGACCATCTGCCTGCATGCGATACCTTCTCTTGTTGTTAGGTGCTGTTGAGTCGGTTCTGACTCATAGCGGCCCTATAGGACAGAGAACTGCCCCATAGGGTTCCCAAGGAACAGCTGTTGGATTTGAACCTGCCAACCTTTTGGTTAGCAGCCAAGCTCTTTAACCACCACGCCACCGGGGC